TGCAACTGAGTAAGGAAGGTACCAGGCACGTGCCTCTGTGTCAGAAGAAAGTCCAGGTGACCACTGTACAGTGATCAGGACATGGAAGTGTATACCTACCTCTCCTTAAATCCCACCCTCTACCTACTGGAAATGTCTCCTAATGCGGGTATTGAAGTGCCCTGACTTCAGCTGAGTCGAGACCTGTTGGCAAGAACTCACATGGAAATCTTGGAGCCTGCAGGTTATGATGGGAGATTGTTGAGCAAATAGCCCTGGATTTTTAAAATGTGTCTACCCTGTTGGCAAAGACTACTTTCCCATAAAAGCGTTGGCAGAAGGAAAGGTGTACCTGAGCCTCAGCTGCTGCTTTTCCTTACCTTGGCCTCTGATGCTGTGGTTTTGTATTACACATTGTCTAATAAGAGTTCCTTCCAAATGATTTTCTTTTCGGTGGCTTCTTGGCTTTTCCTTTTGCCTTGAATTGGACTTGGTAATTGTCTCGCTAGTGGCTGATCTAGTAAAAATTATTCTTTTGTTTCCTTTCTGTGTTTTGCAGTGTTAGTGTTTGCCAACTCTGCCAGCTGAAGGGTCTCACCCAATGGCTGTTGGGGCTGGCGTGAGAACAGGCAGGAAGGAGCTTGAGGCAGTGGGACAAGGGAGGAGTGGGACAGCTGCTTTCCACAGCAGTGCTCTCTTATTATATTAGATGTGACCTGACAGTAAAAACTTACTTCAGAGCCATTTTTATCAGCCATCTAGACCAGTACATCCTGGGTGAAATGTTTCTTTTAAAAAAAATAATTCAGATCTAGCTCACCTTGGCTTGATCTGCTGAGATTGCTCTGAGGCCTGGCCACCTGACAGCTGCACACTCTGCCAAGGGGTTCTCCAAAGTGGTCACGGAGCAGAACATTGGCCAGATGAAGGGCCCTCAGTCACACCTCACTCTCCCCATGGTCATTTGATCTAGGAGCACTGTGTGTTATGGGTCCATTCCATGATCGGTATGTTGGTATCCTGTGTCTTAATGGGTGGTAGCACAGCCTTCCACAAAGCAGCAGTACCTGCAGATTGGAGTGCGATGATGCCATGCCCCAGGTCTCATATATTCTCATTATTCTCACAACTAAGGGTTTGTGGATGAGATTGGGATCCCTTCGGGCTGTGGTGCTACCTGGAAATGGAGAAAGGCAGACACAGATGCATCAGAGTGCATACAAAATGCAGAAAAGCCTTGCTAACAGGTATGTCAGATCTATTACAGTCCTCTGGCAGTCCTTAATGAATGGACTTACCTTGCTTGTACACAGGTACTTGGGGCAGAGGTGGCCACATTATCATCAAAAATAAAGAAACTCCCTCAAAAAGTGTTGGAGTGAGCAGAAAGGGAAGTGTCTTGGAAAAGCAGGCAGAAATTAGCCCAGCACATGGGGAAAGCAGATGAGGTTCTTGCAAAAGGAAGCTGCAGCTGCTGCGCAAGTGCTTTAAATGAATGAAGCAATTGAACTCTGTGAGGAAACCTGCCCAGCCTGGCTTTCTCAAGGGAGAAAAGAGGCAGAACACTTTAGTTTTGACTATAAAATGGGCTTAAGAAAGGGGTATCCTGTTGCTCAGTCTGATCAGGACTAGCATACTTTTGGACAAAAAGGAACTGTGAGAATTTCATGAAATAAAGCATCTGTAAAGCTTCTAAGTTAGGGGCAGCTGAGTGAGCGTTTCTGGACTTTGTTTTACAGGTTTAAAAGAAAAGTGGTGAAGTGTATGCACATTTTCAACACTCCATTAAAGATGCTGCAAGATGAAGCTTAGTGGTGAAAGCCCAAAACTAGATCTTACTTGATGAGTTCATGTCTTGAAGTTTAAAATAACCAGCAGATTGGCTGTGTATCATAGGATAATTAAGTATGGAAAAGACTTCTAAGATCACCTAGTCCAACTGTGTAGCACTAGCTAGTGGTATCTTAGTGAATGTGGTTGCCTTCCACTCAAGCAGGGGGAAGCATTCACAACCCTTTTGAGTAATACTGGCTTCAGTTCTGCATGAAGTTTCTTCTCAGCTTCAGTTCAGGGGCTGCAGTATCAGGGCTACAAAAATTGGATGAGCGTGATTCCCGTGAGAGCTGAGCTAGGTAACAATTCACACAGGGACACGAGGATGCAGGGGCTCACTCTAACTTCCCCTAACCAGCAATTTAGGGATTATTCAAAAACTTCAATTTCTGGACACTGACTTTTTTTTTTTTTTTTTATGAGGTACAGTACAGCCTTTCTGTCACATGGTGGAAAATAGCAGAAGAAGCCTATGATGAGAAAAGTTTTGAGTGAACCAATCCCCATCTTGCTTGTTTCTTTCTGCCTAGGAAAGCGTTGGGGGTGATGCAGCCTCCCTAAGGGACAGTTGTTTCCTTCAACTCCTCTGCGCAGCACTTCGTGTAAGCAGCACCAGCTCCCAACTTCCACTTACCAAGGGCGCTTACTCTGTAGCTGAAGGAAGATGCTGAAACAGCCCATGCCAGCACAAGTCCCTTGGATTTCTCTATGCCTTCCCTGAAGCCCTGACAAGCTCAAACCTCAAAGCCATGTTAGCAGCATCCCCCGTGAGACCTGCTACAAGGGAAATCAAGGTGATTCTTATCTCCAAGTCAGTTTGCACTGTTGCAACATCTTTGACTTCAGCTCAGGTCACGAGCTTACATAGCTGCATCACCACAGCAACCTGCGATTCAGATCACAGCACGCTCTGCAGCAATGTTTCTTCCCATGCAGGGTCCCCCAGGTGTTCACGCTGCTGCCCAGCTCTCCCCAGCCTACGTCACCACAGCTGCTCCTTCTCTGTTGCTGGCTTGGGCGGTGTGCTCAGGGTGCTCACATCCAACCACACACAAGGCAGCAGAGCAGATGCTGCAGTGCCTTGCACAGTGCTTCTCTCCGTCCCGGAGGGAATAGCAATAGAGAGAAGCCATCAGAAGAGAACAGTGCAGGAGATGCAATTCCCCATGGTGGACAGATCACCATACTGAATTACCATTCTCTTCTGAAAAAAAACACTAGGTTTACTAGTACGAGCAGTATTTTTCCCCTAAGTTCTCAGCTGCTGCTGCAGCAGCCAGCTACCAGCTTTGCTCTGATCTGAAGGGTAGTTCTTTGCTTCTCCAAGGCTGCAGACCAGCCTGTGGGGGTTGGTGAACTCCACTAAGAGAAACCCATGTCTTGTGCTTTGCCTTTCTCAAGAGGTGAGACCATGCTTTGCACTGAATCCACTCACAGATTTTTGCTTTGCAGCTTCTGGTGTCAAGGCTGTTTAATTACTGTAATTACTCTAAAGATTCAGAAGCTGGTTGAAATTGAGTTAATTGTAGATTTTTCACTCTAGTCCTTTTAGAAAACAAACTGCTACAGAGAGTGGAGCCCAAGCTGTGTGCAACCTTTATCTTGAACCATAAGAAACAGGAAACCTCTGTGGGTTTTTTTGCAGCAACCTGACATTTATAGCTACTTTCAGAGCAATAGTGAATGAGATTATGCAGTCATGAACCCCATGAAGCACAGCTCTCAGAGGAGTAAAATTTATCAGAGAGGCTCCAGTTCACTTCAGTGTGCATTTGAAAGACAGCCACCTCCATCTGCAAATGGTCCATTGTTTACCTGCTTTTCTTCCCAGTGGTTGGTCTGTTTTCATCTCCACTGGCGTGCTGGGCAAACTGGTACCAACCCTGCGCCTTGAAAGTTGGAATCAGCTCCAGGGAGCAGCAGGAAATCTCTTTAGGTGTGCCAGGGACATGTGCTTCCCTGCCTGCACATTCATGACTTGCCAGTCCTCTCCTCACTGTTATCCAATGGGATTCCAAAGAAACAAAATCCACCTTTCCTCCCACTCAGGCAGGCCAAGAAAAGGCTGAGAGTTATGAGCTCTACCTCTTGCCTCTGTCTCTCCATTGCCAGCCAATGTCTGTACCATAGCTGCCCTAATCCCACTGAGCTCAGGAAGCACCCACTGTGTGGGTTGTTTCAGAGGAGCCTTTCTTCATGCACTGCATTCTGATGGTCATGTCTGCCTGCCTACTGAGGGTTAAAAATGAAAGAAAAGTGGCCATGAGAAGACGGTTCGGTGTATTTACAGTTTTGCTATTTTCTTTTCTTGCTTTCCTTCTGTCTTTCCTTCCATCTTTCATTCTTTTTCTTTTTATTTCTCTCTTTCATTCTTAAAACCATAGAATTTTGAGTTACAGGGCACCATTTAAAGGCCATTTAGCCCTTTAGTGCAATGAACAGGGACAACTACAGCTGGACCAGGGTGCTCAGAGCCCCATCCAACCTGACCTTGAGTGTCTGCAGTGCCTCAGCGTCCTTACTGCAAAAAACTTTTTCCTTATATCTAATCTAAATCTCCTCTCTTTCAATTGGAAACCATTTCCCCTTGTCCTGTCACAGCAGACCCTGCTAATGAGTCTGTTCCCTTCTTTATTACAGTTTTCCTTTAAATACTGAAAGGCTCTTTCTTTCTTTTCTTTCTTTTCTTTCTTTTCTTTCTTTTCTTTCTTTTCTTTCTTTTCTTTTCTTTCTTTTCTTTCTTTTCTTTCTTTTCTTTCTTTTCTTTCTTTTCTTTCTTTTCTTTTTCCTTCTCTCTCTCTCTCTCTCTCTCTCTCTTTCTTTCCTTCTCCCCCCCTCCCTCTTTCTTCCTTTCTTCCTTTCTTTCTTCCTCCCCTATTCTCTTTCTCCCTTTCTCCCTTTCTTCCCCCCTCTCCCCCTTTCCCCCTTTCTTCCTATTTAAAATGTGAGAGCTACCTTTGTCAGGGTAAGAAAAGCAAGGAAAAAGATCTGAAGAGCATATAACATTTTTAAAGACTTGTTAGGTATGATTTAGCAAAGGCATGTATTTATTGCTATTGAACTTTTTACTTGAACAGCAATTAAGGCTTTTTGTTGCAGAATAATTTGGTCTTCAGGAATTTCTGAGAAACATAAGAAAATTATGAAAAGCCGTAGTTCTTTCTGAAGGAAAAAAATAAAAATCACACTTCGATGAAAAAGTGATATATATTTTTTTTTTTTAATATTTGAAACTCTTTTTTCTGTTAAAGTGCAGAACACTTGAAAATTTGGCCTCGTGTCAATGGCTTTTGAAAAGTAGTTTTACATCCAAATCTCAGGTCCTTTGACTCCTAAGCAGTGAACTTGTGAGATGAACAGCCAATAAACTATGCATGGGTTTATTAATCTCCTCTTGCCTGTATATAATGTGGATCATTCATCATGTACCTCCCAAGCAGCCCTAGTGATTCATGAGCTTGTACACAGTGCAGAGATGTCTTTGCTTCCACCATGACAGATACTGAAACTGAAGCTGAAAAACAATAAACCCCAAAAAGGAAAAAAAAAAATCATAACAATATTGCTTTTTATTGTGTCTTAGAAGTCTAAAGGTTTTGTACAAGCAAACCTGCAGTTCTGAAGGTCAGACAGCACATCAGGCCCTTTCCAGAAGGAACAACCAGCAGGTACCCCAAATGTACGTTTGTGTTGAGGAGCAGCAGCATGGGCAGGCTGCAGTTCACTGGGCCCATTCAGCAGCTCAGGGCAGGAGCTCGGAGTCGCTAAGGACCTCTCCAGTTTCAGATCTGCACAGGAAACACATGATGCTCTTTTCTAATTTCTAAATGACTTGTGCAACCTCTCTGCTTAACAGCCTGCGGCATGACCACGGAGAGGGACTTCCTGCCTAGTTGCAAGAATGATTTGGACACCAAAGCTCCTTCTGTGTAGTCTTTGGTTCTTTTTTTTTTTCCTTCCTTTAGTTTTCACCACAGTAAAGTGAAGCCACAAAGTCCATACATTACAGGCAGTCAAGCAGCAATTTGTAAAACATGTAATGCAATTCCAAATGCATTCAGATATGGCAAACATAAAATCATAATTAATACCAATTGGAGAAAAAGAAAAGAAAGGATAAAAGAAGGGAAAAAATGCTAAAAAAACTGAAAAGTATGTTGATTTTTGTCAGCAAAGAGAAAGCAAGCATTGGAATAAAAATCTCTAAGTTGTTCTTCAAAGCCAAGGTGAGACAGTGTGCAGAATGGCTGATGTCTTCCTGCAGGCTATATGGGAGCTGCAGCACCTGGCCACACTTGCCAGAGATGTTACTGCATCCTACGAGGCTGGAGGGAACACCAGTGCTGCAGGAACTCTTCAACAAGACCCCAAGAGGACCCTGAGCATGTTTAATGTCCATGGCTGTACCAGGCGCTTCCTCAGGCTGCTCTTTGCTAGACCCTGCCAATGTGCTGCCAAGCTGTTGGACTCTGGTTCTGAGGGCAGGAAGCAAAACAGCTTTTCAATCAGCAATGTCTTGACAAGCAAGGAGGCAGTGAGATCAGTTAAGTGCTGATGGTGATATTTCCCATGTTTCCTCATTCTTGTCTCCAGCATTCTCCGAAATATGTTGGAACTGTTGAATTTTAAACGTAGATATTTTGACTGCCAAGATAGTTTACATTAAGAATAATGACTCAGCGATGTTTCACCAGGAAAAAAAAAAAAAAAAAGAGTATAATTAAAATAGGTTCTAAAAACGATTTAGATATTTTGCAATACCACAAGAATGTGGTGGTTTATTATATCAGGTTCGTCAGGTTACAATCATTCCTGTACACGTTAGTTCTCTGGTTCCTGTACACTGCTTGCGGCAAGCTTACTGCAAATGTCCGCTGCTTAAAACTGAGACAATTTTACAGAAAACCTCATTTTATATGTATATATATACATATATATGTATATATAGTATATACTTCTAAACTTTGCCCCTAGCTAGGCCTTCTCATCTCTCAACAATTTCAGAAGTAGGAAATTCTCTGAAAAAAGAAATGAGAAATGGTGTGGTGGCCAGTCTCAGTTCTCTCCATGCTCCAAAACCAACCCAAGCAAGAAATCAGCCTCTCACAGGAGAAGGTGCGAGTGCTCCAGGAAGAACCAGGTTGCCAAAAAGCAGTTCCAGGTCATTAATGCAGTATTTGGAAACTTTGGAAAACCATGGCTTGTGAGATTAGTGGTATGTGTCAAGGCTCTCTGTGAGACTGTTTTTTTCATGTGTTTTATGTTTTTAGAAGAGGGGAATCCTGGAAATCTAAACTTCAAAATCACATTTCACCTTGGTCCCTCCAAATAAATCAAAGAGCAGGGGCAGCCAACTTAACAGAACTATAATGAGTGACTGACTTGTTAATAAAGTTGAAGCTATTTGAACTCTTAATGCAATGGCCAGTCTAACCGAGGCCTTCCATTCCTTTCTTTCAACAGTAGGAATAAGTAGCTTTGATTTTAAGAAATATACAAGGTACAAGAATGGCAGAATAAGTATGAAGGACTAGTGAGTCAGTACTGCTTTTAGTTAAATTAATTAGGAAAATCCAGTTGAAATCCCTGGAAATTTAGTTGTCGTGAGATATGCTAAGCATGTTTTATCTGGATATTTTCATTGTTTGTCTAGTTGGTTGGTTTATTTTGTTGTGTTTGTTTTTAATAAAAACAACCACATACAATTCTCACATAATCAAATACACACAAAACACACCTGGAGCTTTCCATTCTCACCTCCACCAATTGCATATGCTTTCATTAGAAGATACTGTTATGCTGGCACAGAAACTTACATCCAGTCTGACAAGATTTGGGGCAATTACCAAGCCCAGGAGTTCCTTGTGAAACAAAACGGATTCGGACATACCCACCTGAGACTGTGAACAGCACATGGTTTGATGGCCAGAGACACAGCACACCTCTACTAAGACTTCCTTTCCCTGATGCACAAGCAAGAGCTGTATAAACAACAGCCCAACTGCTGTAAGATTTCAGCTTCTAAGGCTGGAGCATCATTTCTTCTTTCTCAAAATGCTGTTGTGTTTTGTGTTGTTGGTTTTTTTTTTTACTCAGAAGAGAATAACTTCAGAAGGAGAAACTGGAAAAGATGCATGTACTAGTTTCAGACAGAGCACTTGAGGATGTGGCAGATTTTGGTTCACACCCATGTGTAAGTAAGAGAAAGTGAAGGATTTGAACCTTGTCTGTGCCCTACAGCAGTGCAATATTTATCAAGTCTGGATTGCAACATACTACCAAGATCAGTTGGTGTTTCACTTCAGGAGTTCTTTTCTCTGTGGATCTTCTGTGGATTTTGTTTCTATGATGTTTCTTTCACTAGTTGGATCCATCCTACTCTTCTGGACTGAAGGACTCATTCCAGAACTAGTAACATCTTTCCCTTTCTTTACAGCCTGCTCAAAGCAGGGGAAAAGTAGAAATTTTGTGAAATTCAGATAACATCAAGCTTTGGCTTGTCTTTTTGTGACTGGGGAGTCGTGCTGCCAGCACAGGGTCAAAGTGGCGGTCAAAGTGGAAGGTCCTTGTACCAGGACTCTGAGCTCCTTAGGTTGGAGAAAATTGTCAGGAAATACATCAGCTGTCTCACAATTTCCTACAGCAGTCAGCACCAGCTGCTGCAATAAGGGTGTCAAGTCTCCATAATTGGCAACTGCATGAATTATCATGCCTGGGGAGCAGCTTTCATTCTTTCTCTCACCTTGTCCAATTTTTGTTGTTGAAGTTTTTTTTTCTGTTCAGTTCCAGTTCCAGCTGCAACCAAGCTCCTCTGAGATCTCTGTGAGACATCAAATCAATAAAATCACATCTGTTAAAAAGGAGTGAAGAACACATGAAAGAAAAAAGAACAGCAAGACAGGTGCACTCATGACTGCCAAAGACAAGTGCTTCAGTCTTTTTCTTGGGCTGGAATAAGCGGCAGCTTCCTACAGTTTTACCAACTACTGCATGTCTTTGTGAAGGATTTTTACATTGTCAGATAGAGAGCAGTCTGTATTGGATGCATCTTCTTATACTGTGATACCAGCAGCACTTGAATGATGTCAGGACTTAGCCAAGATGTCCAGAGGTGCTTCTTAAGGCTAGATTCATTACTGATGCCCCAGCTAAGACCAGAAGTGTATGTTCTTCAACTTGATGGCTGAATCACATTCTGCCTAAAAGACATTTTTCAGCTTGTGTGACTTTTTTTTTCTAAAGAATTTTTATTTGCTTGCTATAAAAAAAAATATTCTAACTAAAAGGAAATGCTAAGTCTTGTTTTCAAGATTTTAATCCCTTCATTTTTAACAATTATTCCAATTATTTAGAAAAACATGTAAAAGTATAATATGCTTTTTCTATCTGAAGGAATCACCAGTTCTATAAAATTCTAGGTATGGTTACTGTCTTCCTAAAAACCATAATTTTGATGAATAACACATCTTTCACCAAAGTATCTGAATATTGCCTCCTTTACAGAAAGTGTTGACTGCTTTTCGTCTGCAAGCTGTTACTTCTTGGTTTAATCAAAAAGGCCACCCAAAACATTAGAACTCTGGCTGTTACTCAATACACGTCTTTGCAGGCTGGCAGTGGCTTTATGACAGGTACACAACTCTCTTGTTACTTAATGCAGAATAATGGAGATTTAGATAAAAATGTTCCATGGGGGACAGAAGAAGATTATTGAATAATGAATTTATGACTCAGAAAACATTCCATAGCATCAACCAAAAATAAAACAAAAAAGGAAACAAAAAGACATGGAACATCAACTAAATTTATCATTGAGAGCATGCAGTTCAGTGCTGATTGGAAAAAACAGTCACATCACTTGGAAAGTTGTCATGCTGCTGGAGTGGACAGAAGGATAGTGCTCAGCAGGATCTTTGATGGCACTCATGCATGGCTGGTGGCAGATGCTGGCACAGGAACAGCTCTGGGAGACAGCAGGCAGCCCTGGTGGAGTGGGATGCAGACTTCCTCTGACAGAGTGCTCAAATCAGCACCCTCAAAGCCCCCAAGAAGAGTCACCATCACCTTGGAGAGAAGGACCTTAAGAAAAGTGGGACACCAAGCTTTGCCAAGTGCACAACTGAAGCTCCCCGTCATCAACATTGCATGCAAAGTAGGAAAGGCACAACTCAGTATGACTGAGCTCCCATAGAAGAGGAGTGGCCAGCAGCAACAGGGAGGTGATTGTCCCCCTCTACTCTGCTCCTGTAAGGCCCCATCTGGAGCACTGTGTCCAGGTCTGGAGCCCCCACTACAAGAAAGACAAGAAGCTGTTGCAGAGGGTCCAGAGGAGGGCCACAAAGATGATCAGGGGACTGGAGCACCTCCCCTATGAAGACAGGCTGAGGGAGCTCAAGTGACCTCATTGCAGCCTTTCAGTACCTAAAGGGAGCCTACAAACAGGAGGGGAATCGACTCTTTTAAAGGGTTGATAACTTCAGGACAAGGGGAAATGGTTTTAAGTTGAGGGAGGGAAGATTTAGGTTGGATGTGAGGGGGAAGAGAGAGTGGTGAGGTGCTGGAACAGGCTGCCCAGAGAGGTTGTGGATGCCCCGTCCCTGGAGGTGTCCAAGGCCAGGTTGGATGGGGCCCTGGGCAGCCTGGTCTAGTATTAAATGGGGAGGCTGGTGGCCCTGAGTGTGGCAGGGGCTTGAAGATTCATGATCCTTGAGGTCCCTTCCAACCCTGGCCATTCTGTGATTCTGTGAAACATCTCTCTCTCATCAAATCTACATGGGACCTCTGGTCTTTGTGCTCGTAAATGTTGCTCTTCAGTCAAAGTTTGGTTGGGATGGCTATAGAATCAAATCTTAATTTAATAATTTCTATGGGTCTGATAACTGTGTCTCGGTTAGATCTCCTGTTTTTGTCTATAGCTCATTTCAGCTATAAGATCTTTGTAGTAGCATCTTTCATTACATGATTGCATGGTATCTGTGACTGCAGAGAATGTAATTAATTAATTTAACTCAGATGGAACTTCACTGTGCTGAATAATGGCAAAGAGGTATAACCTCTAAATAAATAATCTGCTATTTGATTTTAATTAATGTCTGGTGTACTGTGATAGTTCCTCTTTGAAGCTTTGAATTGTATCATTTCTTTATGAAAATCCCAATTACCTGAAAAGAGAAATTTACCAATTGCTGTGCTCCTGTGCTCTGTAGTCTCTCCGAAAGCCTTGCAGGAACCCTTCCTTTCAGCTGGGACAACACTTTGTATGTTTCTGTGTGAACTGTTGCTAAAAGAAAGGTGCGTTCTCAGGCTGTAGAGCTGACACACACTTTCTTTGAAAAACAAAACAAAATAGATCTGTCTGTATTCAAGATGCTTTAAAATTGCCTTGCCAGTATGTTAAACTCCATAGAAAAATGAACAAAGGATTTCTTACTAGAAACGCTGTAAATTATATTTTCTTTTGCTTACTGCCAAGAGAGAAATTAAGAAGACATTTAAATTGAAAATAAATTACATGGAAAAAAATGAATTGAATGTTCATGAAACAAGATGGTTTGATAATATTATCATACTTAAAGTTCATGGTAGACAGCTCTGCTATGTTTCTTTATGGGACTTCTGATGTAAATTTCCTCCCCCACCAGTTCTAATGAACTGCACATATATATATTTTCCCATAAAAACAAAACAGAACAAAAATCACCATTTAATTGCCTCTCAAGTATGGCTACTCTTGTGTCTGGATGCTCTGCTTATGTAAGTATCTTTCTGGTGCTGTTGCTAAGAAAGGTGATCACAGTTGCAAGATCAGCTCTGAAGGTAGCTGTGTAAATTATATCAGAGATTGTTCCTTCTCTTTGAGGTAGGAGGTGTATTTCTCATTCCCCATGGTTTGTCAGCCCTCTAATCAGCCCCACAAGCACAGTGGTGGTTATTCACAGCAGGACCAGCAGGTCCCTCCCACACACAAAAGGCTGAGGCAGGTAACAGCACGTTCTGCAGAAAATGTAGATAGCATTGCAAAAATGCTGTTCGCCTTCCTTAGCTGATTGACTAACAGAAAAAAAAAAAAATACTGTGTGAGCAGAAATTTAGATTACAGTCTCCTTTTCCTGAAAGTAAGCTTGGAATGGGGCTCAAATCAAATCCCTCCACACCAGTTAATCAGGAGTTTCTGCAGAGAATTAGGCACTTGAGGTCTGTCTATCCCAGAAATAGCTGCAGGGGGTGTGGCACCATGGATTGATGGATGATTTCCACTTGGATCAGTTGAGTCCCTTCTCTTTTCCCATCTGCCTTGGTGACTCTGGCAGCCACTGATAGCTGTTGAAAGGTTCTCACCAGGAGTGTGTGAGGCTGTGCCACCAGTGGCAGCACCTGTGAGAAGTTCATGCTTAGTGAGTCAGCAGGGAGAAACTTTGGTGCATGGCTGAAAGCAGGAAAGTTGAGCTGGCAAACTAGAGGGACTCATATAGCCCCTGGTAGGAGACCAGATAGACACCAGGAGCTGTCCCAAAACATGAAGCCTCCTGGAGATTTCTGGTTTGCCTGAGCATACAGTGAGAGCAAAGGTTCCTACTGGCTCCCCAGACAATCTCCCAGGATGAACAGTGTGCTCACACTGCTGTTGGAGAGCTCAAAACACCACAAGCAAAGGGACATAAGTCAGAAAGGACTGAGGATCTCCAAATTCTAGCCCAGAAAACAGCTGAATATGCTGTGAGACATGAGCCAAGCCCAGCACTTGGGAATACTGCAGAAAGTGAATTTGCTGATAAATGACAAACATTTACTGACACCCACAGAGAGTGTATATTGTGGGAGAGGGGATGGCGATGCCACAATTGCTGGGGCTCTGCCTGGGACCAGTGGATTACACTGTAGCAGAAGATGCCTGGGGTATCAGTGCAAAAACAATGGAAATATTTCCTCCTTTTGAGCTGTGTGTTGGTCCATGATAATGTTGTCACCGTGACAGTGACATTGAAGGAAAAGCCGTGGTCAGTAGAGCATAAACACATGGAACTCGGGGCGCACAGTGTTGCTGTTTATCCTCACTGGGGCATTCTGTGAAATCCGTATTACTGAAGCAGCAACAGCACACAGGGGAGGAGGAAGCAGCAGTTGCTGTATTTGGAATGTATCAGTTTCCAGGTCTGTTTAGGAGTTTTCTTTCATTTGATAGACATGGGGCCAAAAAAAGAAGTGTTCGAAATGACAGAGTTCAAGGACCACAGTAGTGCAGCCCACAACCCCCCACACAGGGGCTGAGAGAGTTAGCTGGGTAACTCACTGCCTCTTCACTCATGGCAGAGGGGCCAGAACTGGACACCTGAGGGAGAAAAATGGGTCCTCTCATTGCATAGACCCCAAAGGATAAAAAAAAGTACAAAGAAAATATTTTGCACCATTCAAAATAGGAGTCACTTCTGCAGAGGTGGCTGGTACTAAATATATCCTAGCGCTTGATGCATCAGCAGGGCTCTGGCAGGGGCCCTCAAATAAACACTGCAGATCACTGTGGCCACTCAGCTTTTCTCTGGGAATTCTTTTGGGCTCCTTTCATACCAAAAGGGAAATGAGTTTGGAGAGAGCTATGCTTTGTAGCAGAGCACGGCCCCAGGTCACCGGCATCTTTGGAAACAGCTGTGGTGGCTGCTGTGCGTCAGAGCTCCAGCAAAGATTCAACACTGATCAACAGTATTGGAGAGGGCACCTTTGGCTTCAGCCCCTCACATACAAACTATTTTAACTTTGCCCCTGAGAAGCCACTGTTAAATGAATCTGCCCATAAATCATTTCTTGCCCCTGGTGAATACAGAGGTGATTTTTGTTTGAGATTATAAATGTCTAATAAAAAAAAAAGGCTAATAGGGAAATGTGCTGCTAGAACATTCTATGCAGGTTTTGATGAAAGCACTGAGGAGTAAAATACAGAGTTGGAGATGTGACATTAAAAAAAAATCTATCAAAGTCATAGACAAAATGCAGATTGCTATTAAGAGAGCAAAAAGAGATTTTGAAAAAAAGAGAGGAGGGGAGGGGAAGGGAGGGCAAAACAGAATTGAGTTTGTTAGCACAGGGTATCTGACATAGTATGCCTTTAAGCTCTTTTTTCAACTGAAGGGCATGTTCCTAGTAGTATGCTAACAAATACCTGACCAGCTAATTCTCAGACATTACAAAAAATATTTAGTAGAAGTAAATATGGTTTAGAGATGTAAATATTTAAGAGAAAGAGTGTTTTCTATTAGCTCCACATGAACACTCATCTCAGAGAAGTTCATCTGGTAAAATGCAAGACAATCAAGTAAAGGAACCGTTGCTGATAGCAATTGAAAAAAAAAAGTTTTTGTAGGAAAAGGTAAGCATAGGTAGAGTAAACTCATTTGTGATAAAGAGAAGTAATCCTCAAGACAGAATTCATGAGTTTTAACTAGTCAGAGTAAATCTGAAATAGTAATGCCTGACTTCACAGTTTGGTTGCCAGAGATTTAACATGTGACATAATACTACTATGGAAATATCAACACTCATCCCATCATTCCTCTAACTGTCAAGTGGAGAAGGTATCAAAATAATAATATGTATCATAAAAATAGCATGTAGTCTGCCTCTGATCTGTGTTTATCACTGTTACTGTACAAAGCTTTACTAGTATAGCATGGATTATTGCCTACTGATATTTGGTTCCTACAACTGCAGATACACTTATGGTACTTATTCCAAATGACACGTTAGCACCATGTCTCCAGTAGCAACATAGAGCAGTATAAGCTGTAATACAGCACATATGCCATTATATGTGATGTCCACATGTGGTGAGATTCAAAAATACAGTGCACCAAGGTATCCTCATCTCCAGAACTGGATTGGATTTGGTCCAAATATTCCAAAAAGCCTGGCTCGATTCTGGGATTCTGAAACAGAGGAAAGTGGTTGACAGCTGAAAGCCAATAAGATGCAGTGATGGCCCTCATCCAGGTAGAGAAGAACAGGAGTGGCTCTCATTTGGTGGGCTCTGAAGTGGAGTGCCTCGATTGTATGGCATTGCCAGGACTTGGTGAGGGTCACATCCTACTGCCTTTTGGCTGGTGGAAACTTGCTCTGCACAGAGGTCCCTGGACGAGGGAAGAGAATGAAAGATGCACTGCATCTGAGTTGGGGAGGGAAAGAGAGAGCTCTAAACCTTGAAAGCCCCCAAAATAGAGTTTAATTATTAATCTCATCTATGTATCTACTCCTGCTTTGTTTGTAGGCCTCTGGCAAGTTGAACATATGAAAAAATATTTGTTTCCATCATAGCCATTGGGCTTGAGTTGTTTGATTTTCCATTATATCAGTATCACGTTGAATGCATTTTATTCATGTTGGACACAGAGGATTCAAATATCCAGGGAGTAAAATTAGGCAGGCTTGTAAAATGCAATTTGAGACAATTTCTTCTTTTTTCTGGTTTCCAAAGGAAATAAAACTTGTGCAACCACATTGTCTGACTATATCTCTCTGTCCGCCTCTCTGCTCGCCTGCTTAATTAAGGTCTAACCCCAGTCTCTGACGAAATTTAAGAGAGTGATAGAGGGAGCAACTAAGTACAATTTATAAAGATCAGTGGCTAGAAGAGGAAAGCTCTACACTGGAGGAGAATGGCTCTAACCACAGTGTAACAGAGAGAAAGGCTGCATTCTGATCTTGCAAAGTCAGACATTACTAAACCAGAGTGAATCCACATGAGAGGAAGCTCTGAAAACCCCAAAGCCAATGGTTTGATCAGACCTTGAATGTCACTAGACATAAATCAGCAAGGGGACAAAAGGAAATAAATTTAGTTCCAATATTCATGAAATTACTTGAATAACACAAAGCTAGCATTTATTGGGTTGCTCAGTCATTGGATCTGACTTGGTTTATATTCAGTTCAGGGTTTTATATAAACTGCTATGCAGCAAAGAGGATAGTCATTAGCATAACCTATGACAAGTTACTTTAGTTTAGGTTATGTAGGAATACGGATGAGATCTTGCTTACAGCAGCTGTTTGTGCCTTTTTTTTTTTCTAGTGTTTTTAGCAACAGGAACAAAGTCCCTGCAGACCTAGGCTGACCTCACAAAACTGAAAGCACATATGGATACAAATTCAAGTTTCCAGTCCTGGAAGATCTCAGTGAGATTGCTTACAAGATTTTATAGCAAAAACTTAAAATGATGTTAGCAAGATGAAAAAATTACCTGAGGAGCTGAGGGAAAACTGAAGCATCACCCCACAACTCTCAATCTTTTTTTAAGCAAGAGTCAGTTTTCTGTACTTAACACATTTGGGATGCAGGAGAACATGGGACAAGACTGAAGTTTTGTACCTGCATAGCTAAAAACCAGGAAGCTATGAATGAAATGCCGTACAGTCAGTCATTCAGATTATCAGTGTCAAAGGATACCAGCAGGTATGGTTGCCCGGAGCTCCTCTTCACTGTCATTCAGTCAAAAATTTGTATTCACTGCCAGAGGGGAAGCAAGGCATTGCTACACTTAGCTCCTGTTTCTGCTTTTGTGATCCCCACCAAGTCAAGGGGGAACACTGTGGACAATCTCAGTGTATAGCTGTGTAGGAGCACAACTGAAACTGCATATGCTGCCTTTAACTAAAGCCTGCCTTTCAGATACTGTAAGAAATTTGGACCCAGTCATGGCTGAATGAGTTGTAGCTATGTCAGGTAACCATCTTGTATTTTGTATCTCTTTTTCTAGGGTTCATTTTTACTATTTTTTACTAGTCATCACATGTCATATTTTGTCTGTTGCTTATACCATGCTTGAATCACACACTGCTGTGTAGTGCTGGGCTGTAAGTTAAGCATTTCCTTCTTTTTCAGCCCATTCCTGAATGTTTTGCTAGCAGTCATCGTGAAGTTAAGCTTTTTGACAATATCCAGTCACACCAAATTAATGAGAAAAATTTAGCTTGGGATCAAAAGTTACACCACCCACAGACACTGTACCACCCACAAGCATGTTGCTATACCCTTGTCATCTTCCCTTTATTTTCTCTCCTTCTTTCTCTCAGTATGTACCAAGGCTGCGAGCCTGCTGTGAGAGGGGCTCCCTGGTCATTTTTGTTCCCTGCAGTCTCACTCCTTTGCTTGTTACCAGTGAGAGATCTGCAGGAAAGCAGCATCTCTGTGTGTCTGCTTTCCCCAAAACACAAAGCACAAAGGGTGTGAGTGGAACCGACATCATGGTTACATGGGTCTCAGCCTACTGTTCATGCAGGGCCTTCCAGAGCTTTTTTGCCTTTGCCTTCCAGCTGGGAAGAACATTTGGGGTTTATAGTTTCAAGATAGTAACAAAGTTGTCAATGAACATATTTTATGACACCGTGCAATACATTTAATGTTGAATTGAAACACTTCTCCATCACCGTGCTCTCACAATTTATAACCTATGCGCATAGCAATTTGTAACATATCCTCGCACAGAGCTCAAACAAACCAGAGGAATTCTGAAAGAAAAAAAAAAAAAAAGCTAAGAAGCGGAGTGAATGGCATGTGTAGAAAACTTTACAATACAAAATATGTACAGCTGGTTAAACAGTGACCAAGGAAAACCCTGGTAATTGCTACTTCTACAGAGTGTAAACAGGCAAGGCGGAGACAGAACTTATTTAGCCTGGCAGTCAACACTGATTTGGGGTTACAGTGCCACAAAAAAGGACTGCCAGAGCCCCAGCAGAGTGTCTACAGGCTCAGTCATGCAGAAATCGCCTCTCCGGGTCAACTGCTTGGAGGGGAGATCTCCTGTGGAGCAGCTACAGCTGCTGGGCCAGAGCAGAGCAGGGGAGATGCGCGACCATGGCTATGGAGCCTCTGCAGTGCGGTTTTGCCTCCCAGATGAGATTGGGAAAGTGCAGCCCATTGTTCCTTTGTCTTTAGATGTTTTTTTACTTGCTTGCCTCATTTCCATAATGCTCCCTGGCCTCCCAGTAGCGCAAATTGGTCTGATGAATACAGTCTTGTGTGGTTTATGATTCATTATTCCCCATGTCCTACCCTCTTAGTCTTGCACGAGGTAATCTCAGTCCCTGTGCAGAAGGGTCTTGCTGGAGCCTTATTTAAAAATTATGGGCATGAAATAAAAGCATTTTTCTTTTCTTCTCCGTGTGTCAGCCACAGATTCCTGCCTACTCTTCTGTCTCATCTGGAAGTGAACAAGAGGAATGAAGACATAACCACCTGAAGATCTGAGGCAACAGAATGACTTGCTGCACAAGGGAAAATGAGAGAGAATGTTCCTTCTTATCTAGAAAACCTGGGAGTAGGAAAAATATAGAATTCAGGGAGAGTGGAGAGAATAAGAAAGAGTAAATGAGTGCTTACATCTCCAGGTACATTCATATTTCTCTCCATTATTGCAGAAGGAATAGCTGACAGAAAAGAATTACCATGCTTCTCTATGACATCTCCTTGCTGTATGTACTGTGTGGTGCCACAGATGCTTTATAAAGGCTTCACTCAGATTTCACTTCCCAGATTCTTAGTATTCCAAGGAAGAGTAAGGAGTCACGGAAATGAGACAGAAAAAAAATGTATAGCCTCTTCAGGGAGATTTTATGTCAAATTGAGAGGCTGCATGCCTATATGAGGTAACCTTGATCTTTGGACGTCATTAAAGCTTTGTAATCTTTAAAAAATATTCCAGTTAGAAGACATCACCAAAACTTGGTGGTATTCACCATTCTCTTGCCAGCACAGACTAGTTAATGCCAACTAGTTGTATTGCACAGTGTCAGTATCCCAAAGACATGAATTCCTCCTCACTTTGAGGCTTTTCATAGCTTGTGCCTTTAGGAAATATTTTTCTGTCATTAAACTTCTGGATGTTTGTCTCTTTTCTACAGTCTTATTCCCACACTGGTACCAAACTAATAATTCCTTTACCTCTTTTCAAGTCTGGCACCACTATCATAATTCACCCTTAATGGTGTGGTGATCCAGAAGACATTCAGTGATGCATTTTGGTGGGTAAAATCTTCTTTCAGTTGTATATCAGATTTAAGATCTCACACTCTCCCATATAAATATTTGCAGGTACTCCTTCAGAGTCAGCAAGAATGATATATGTAGTTCCTTCTAATAAGTCACTTGCTGCAGCTCATTAATCATTGTTATTACCCTCTCCATGCATTTGGTGAATGTAACAATATGGTACTTGAGTACTTCTGAAAATAAGACACCTCATTAATTGAAGCAATGTCTAAAACCACTTTTATTTTGCTATTCATTAACAACTTCACAAGTAGGTTTTAGTTCACAAGAGTCCTTCCAGAATTAGCCACACTGTAACTATTTGCATAAATAAATATTTATATTGAAAATAACATTCAAAATGGAAGATTATATTAGCACAAAAGATTTGTCTGGGTATTATGCAATTATATGGCTCTTTATCTGTTCAAGAAATACATTAAATATTCTTCTTTAAGGTTATTAGCCTCGCTGCTTAAACACAGGGTATATGAAAGGAATACTTTCCTAAGCAAGTAAAAGGTTTCTATGCAAATTATTTTTGCAAAAATTCAAAGTGATACATAGAAGTATTTAATATCATATTTCAAAAATGGAAACAAGGTCACTAGTTCTTTAGATATAAAGGTAATGTTACTAATTGGAATAATTTTCTTTTCATTTCTGTGTAGAATTGAGTTTAGCAGCAGTCACTTTTCTTCTGGACAGATATGAAAGAAACTCTATCCCTTACTCCATCATGTTGTGCTTCAGTAGGTGACAACAAATATGCAGTGATAACTTCAAACAACAACTTACCAAATTCATCCCCACTGTTACCACAGATGTTTAACACTGTGGCATCCATGGATTTCTTTTATATGCACAGAGTGAACTTCAGTCTGTTTGCATAAAACATCCTTGGGCAGACCCAAAGCTTTGCTTTTCCTTGTCTTCCAGGGATTACTTTTGATTTTGATAAATCAGGTGGATTTAAGAGACTGGGGAGTTTTGTAGATACCCTTCCCTCTTCCCATGTTGAAATGCTGATGTGTTGCATTTTAGTGCAATGTCACAATACTAGACACAGGGAATAAGAGGGAGCAAGCTGGGGTGGCAGAAGAGGGACTCCTCTGAAGGGCACACATGGTGATTCCCAGTGGCCTACAGCTTTTAGTCTTTCAACACTGGTCCTTGCATCGCACTCAACCTGAGACCCCAGAGTGCCTCACTTGGCCTTTTGGAGGTCATTTCAATGACCCATGTCCAAATGGCTCCATGCTGCTCCTGGCTGTAGCAGAGAGCTTAGAAGCTCAGTGGGGTTTCATATTAACAAACCTGGACTCTTGACCTCTCATGGTGGTGATGTGTTGGCTGTTGGACTAGATGATCTTACTGGTCTTTTCCAGCCATAATGATTCTATAATTATACAATTTTGAATCTTCTTTCCTCTCTCAGATTGTATCTGCACCTAATTGCTTGAAGCAGGATTAAGTTCAATAAAAAATATATTAATTCGGCTCAGGACAGAAGGCTCAGAACTTTTTACTCTTTGTACTTTTGTCTTTCATTTGCCTGTGCTCCTCTAGTCACATTGCCATTGCAAACTGGGAAATTGGCTGTGGCATAAATCTCTGCTCCTCTGTGCATGTCAGTATCAGTACTTCAACTCTGCTGCACAAGTAGAGAGGAGAAAGAAATGGAAGAGAAATAAGACTGTGGTCAGTGAAGTTCCGAAAATGACATGAAAGCTGCAAGCTTACCTTGGCCTCCAAGTATTGAAATGTCTTTTTCAGCAGTGGTAGAATATTGTTTTGGATATTTTATGCACTACACTCTGTTGTCTTGCACATCCATGATAAGTTGATGTACTCTGTATCAAAGATTACATAGTGCTTAAAATTATTTTTGTGAGAAGAAAAGAAACATGGCCTACAATAAAGAGATGTGTGGAGCTAGTGCGAACGGGGCAATCTGACCTAACTGGACAGAGCTGTGTTGTAATGACAAAATACTACAGAAACCCAAGCATTTTTGGAACAACGCCACTACATTCAATTTCTTCCCTCTGCACTACAGGAATCAGGTGTCTGCAGTGATGATGGTGATGGAGGAAGGTGGGAAAACTGCAAAAGAGCATTTCTATGTAGGAAAGTGCATACATAGGTAAAACTGATGCGTGGATGGTGGCTCTCCTTCTCTGAGTGTTCACTCAACCTCCTCCCTCCCTCCAAGCTCAAGCAGACTGGAGATGGCAGTGCACTACCTACCTGCAGGAGCAGAGGTAACATTGACTGATCTCAGGTTATGATGCAGCCATTGATCTGCACTGGAAGTAGAGCTGGCCATATGGAAGTTCGCTGGCAAATTCCCTCAGTTATCCCTAATCTTGTCAGCTGCACAGTTCTCCTGTGGGATCATCTCACAGCATCACCTGCCTCCTCCAGAGCATGCCATGGCATGGGACTGGTTGGCTTTAGTTCAGCTGGATGTGCCAATTGCAGGTACCAAAACAGAACAATGTTAAAATACCTTTAGCAGTGAACTCTACAGTGGAAACAGTGTCTTTTTCTTTGTCAAGGAGAGATAACATTTCTGGAATTAAGGATGGAAAATTTACTTTTACAAACTATTTTTTCCAATTTCATGTGTATCAGCTCCTGAAAAGTCACATGCAGACCATTGAGAGTCACTCAAATTTTGTACTGGCATTTCATGAAGAAAGTTTTATTTACCAGATGTTACTCCACAGTTACTACAGATATCTTTACATGCTCCTTACGGAGAGGAAGTGTTCTCTTAGATAGCACTGTGATAATTATTAGCAAATTCATTGGCAAAATGTAATTAGCATGTAATTATTAGGAAATAGAGGCAATCAGTCACTGCAAAAATTCCTCCACTGGTATTGCAGAGTAGAAAAAGGAAACAGAAAATCACCTTTTCTGAAGCTTAAAAAATCAGAAGTAATTAATGTAGAAAATCAGTCACAGCAAACAGGCTGCATGTATCTTTGAGGAGGAACACTGCAGCCCCCATTACAATCTCCTTCCCTTCTAAGGATGGCTGCGTGCAGGGAAGGCTATGGGTTTGCACCATGTGTTCGAAGAACAGCAGTCAGCTGACAGCAAGAAAAGCAGGCAGGAGCATAAATAAGCAATTGTGGCTTTTTTCCATACAATTGTAATTGTAATGCACTGAGGGACATTACAGCTGGCACGTACTACTCACAGACACCAGAGGGAGGGGAAAAGAATGCTTTCACAAAATTGATAGTGCTTTTGAAAAGGCCATAGCAACATTAACTCTTCAAGACAGGAAGGCTGGACTTGCAATGTGAGGATATTTTGCTAAGTAAGGATACATTCACTCATCCTCAGAGCAGCATAAACAAGGAACTGCTGTTTCCGAAACAGCCCCTGTCACACACAGAGCAGCTGATGGAACAAAGAGCCACATTTGGACATGTTCATAGTGACACCAGGGAAAAGGTATTGCTGCCCAATCTTCGTACTGCCAAAGAGGTGTTGCTCCCAAATCACAGAAATAATCCTTGCATCATGCTCTGTTGTGCATCTGGCCTTAACGTAAATATTTTAGTTTAGAGGAGTGTACTGAGCTAGGATGTGAAATGAAAGGAGATGCACTGCATGTGAAGCTGACTGATTGCTCTATGCTTCACTGAATATTAAAAGGCTGATTGCTTTTTTTTTTTCAGCTTTAAAAGTGCAAGATCCTTTACTTTACCACTCACTATTTACCTTCACCCAGGCCAGACATCACCTTTAATGCCAGATCATCCTGCTCCCCTCTGGGATACCAGCAAGCCTCAGGGCTGATTTTCTATTTATGAAGCAGAGAAGGCGGCTCTGCACTGGGACAGCTGGGACATAGCTGTCAGTCCCTTTTCATTATCAGCAGCACCCAGCTGGATATCTGGAATTCAGACACTGAGGGAGAAGTATGTTTGCTTGCATTTTAAAAACAGGTTGATTGCTGGGTATGAATACCCTGCAACAGTTGCTCAACTTTGCCTCTGTGAAACAGAACAATTCCCAAAGGCTGGTAAAAGCAAAAGAGAAATCAAAGTGCTCCTTGCTCATCAGTTCAGAATCTGATATGTGGTGGGGTTTTGCTTTTTCTGCAAAATATTCTGCACGTGATATATTTTTAAAGGACAAATATCCATTACAAAATCAACACTGAGTAGAAAACCCAAGTTGTCATTGCTTGAATACCATTGCCCATTGCCACTAATTCCTTGTGAAGTAAATAATTATGCAGCTCTAGCAGCTTTAGGATTTGCATGAACACTGAATGAGAAGCTATAGCTGGGCATCACTACAAGTGATGTTCTGTTTGCCATATGTCAAACAAGCAATCTTGGCTTAATCCAGAACAGAAAATCTGTTAATTCATAGTACAAAGATTAGGATTTGTGCAGTGGCAATGCTGCCTGGAACAAGAAAATTTGCTGAAGGCCTCCTCGGGAGGGCTTGCAGCCGGTGTCAATGACAGGAGTTTAAAGTGTTTCCCTCCCTATTTCCCACTAGCAAATGATTTGGATGAATCTTTTACTTACTGGCCTCTGAAGTAAACTTCCCCTTGCTAAACTAAGCTTGTAATCTGTGGCAGATGAAAGCAGTTCCCTTTTGGGACTTCAGAATTCATTTAGCACAGTGATTCAGTTCTGTTCTTTTTTATTTCTTCACTTTGAAATAAGTCTAGTTTCCATATTACCCACAAAGAAACAGTTCATCAGGAGTCCTGGTGAAGAACTCCTCAAGCATCTTTCTTCCTTCTTTATTTTGCCTTGAGGACTGCTATTAAAAAATCCAAAGTCATTTTGTTTTGCTTAGATCACCAGAAATAGCTGGGCTAGCTAGGTGGCAATTGACTTCCATTTAGAAGTTTGAGGTATTTTCCAATTGGCTACAGTTTGACCATGCTCTGGTTGTTAAACCTAGGCTACACTTCATGCATAACACATTCTTCATAACAACTGAGCAATCTCTCTACTTGTTCTCTACTTCATCAATAGAGTTTTACCATTTTGCAGAACTAGCCATTATTCAGAAGGACAACCACATTGTAAACTTAAATAGTACACTCTATATGCTTGAAAAACAAGCCAGTGCTTTTTAAGGAAAATCTCTTAAGTGTAGCCCAGATAAAACCAGAATAAACAAACAAACAAACAAAAACTAACAATACAAAAAGCCATGTTTTTTGAATGCTAATGGTCAGCTATTCTCACATCTCAGAATTTGTGTGCAACCTGTAGGTTCCTTCAGGCTATCAGGTTAAATATGAGATGATGAAATAGCATAGGTGTGCAATAGCCTTTATAGAATCATAGAATGGCCTGAGTTGGAAGAGTCTCTTCAAGGTCACCTAATCCAAATCTCCCGAAATGAACAGGGACACTTACAGCTCAGTCAGTGTTCTCAGAGCCCCATCCAGCCTCCAGTGTTCCAAAATCCAATCACAAAAGTTTCTTCTGCTCCTCTTACATTCTTCACACTTGCACTAGGCCTGCTGGAACTGGAGTTACGGTCTATGTGAGCCTTTACAACTGGGCAGCAATTACAAATTTTGCTGATGGTTTCAAAGAAATAATTATTAGTGTACTAGTATTAGTGAGCTGAAACACACTGTTCCCTTTTCAGAAGATAAGACCTTAAATTTGCATATCACCAAACATGGGAAGACCTTGAGAGAAACTGAATCTGTGTTTTACTGCTGAAGTTTATCACCTCATAAACTTCATTTCATAAGTACCCTCATTTTTAAAGCATAAGATCTATGCAATTTACTTTCTTTGTACATCCTTCGTATCAAATTACCTACTTACTTGTACAACAAAGACTGCAAAAGATGAGATTCAAGGTGACTGAATTTAACTTCAGTCTCTGAGAACAACGACGTACAAGAGGAACCCAACAAAGAACAGTATCACCTTCTATAGCACTGTTGAAACAGAGAGATCACTAAATCTTCTATAACACTTGGCATACAAAATTTTACCTCTCTCAAAATCCTTGAAGACTTTCATGAAGAGCCTGTGAAATGATTAAACCAAGGAGGCTGACTCAGTGTTTTCTAGCTATCTGAATTCTGTGCTACTGCATTGCTCTCCTCAGCAGCAACTCAACACACAGAGGAAAAACTTTCTTCACTGAGTACCTAATATTTCCAGGCAGGATCCTTTTCCCATGCCAGCATTTAAAAGCTTGCGTTGAGACACTGCCTTGGTCAGAACCAAGACAGAGTGAATTAAAACAAGTGTTATTCCAAGAACAGCTGTCCGCTTAGTTTTATGGCTACCCTTCCAATTCAAGCAGGCAGTGCAGACCAATTCCCCAGTGAGGACAAGCCTAGGATTTGCACGACAGCTCATCTCAGGTGCTCCTCAGTGTGCTGAAACAAACCACATGTTTGCCACAGGGATGGCTCGTGGCAAGGTGGAAGGAGAGCTGACTATAGGATCATAGAATCATAGAATTATAGAATCATACAATTTCTCAGGTTGGAAAAGACCTTAAAGATCATCAGTCCTTCGCTGTGTGCTAGCTCATTCTCGCTCTCTCTTCCAATCTGGAGCAAAGTGAGATGGTTTCTGAGCTGGATAAACAGGAAATCACACAGGCCTTCACCTCCTCCTGCCTCACATCTCCCAGTGTGGCTAAGGTGAGCCCTGGTGGTAAGGAGGGGATTCAGACCCTTCTGACCCACTGACTCAAGATGATTGACAGGCAAATGGTAACAAGAATAAAATCTGTCATCCATAGTGCAAAAGCACTTTATGGCATTGGTGAAAAGCTAACAGTTGGTACTTATCTCAGAAGATGGAAAGCACATGATGCCTTCAGTCAGTTGTCATTTAAGAAGAATGTAAGTGAGCTTTTAATTTATGTCTGTAACATGAGCATACAGACTACTCTTCTACATATTTAGAAAATGGGAATATCTTGTTATCTTGTGAAGTGGTACCAAGGGCAGACAACTCTTATGCTAAATTGTGGCTGCCTGAGGAGGAGAGTTATTTTGGTGCAGCACAAAAGATCCACTACATGGGTGTTGTTTCTCTTTTTTTTTTTCCTGAAATTAACAGCTGTCTTTTGTTTAATCATTGTGTATATAAAGAAAATAAAGTCATAAGACATCGAGCATGTCTAGCTTTTAAGGGCACTCGTTGCCAAGGAGAAAGCCTAAAGTTTGCATAACAGCAGAAATCAGCACTGCCTTAATTTTGCAACATGTAGTAATTTTGCTGTAGCTGAAAACTCCAGAAGGAAGCCTTGTTTCATTTCCAACACAAATCACTTGTTTGTGCAACTTCTTGGCACAAAAGTGCAGGGAGAAATAGCAAGGTACTTTTCAGCTCACAAGCATCCTTTTCCTTCTCTGAGGCAGCAATAATCGTTGTTGAAAAATATCGTTAAAAACAGGAAGCTTTATCATTATGATTTTCTAGCAACCTCGCCCTTTCTTGTGAACCTGACCCTGGCTATGAATCGTCTGCTTTGATTCAAACACAACTATTATAAGACTGAAGCTCAGGTATTTCCTATTTTGCTCTAAAGCATTCACAGCAAACGCTCAGAGACAGCACTTCCCCGAGAGAGACAAGCAGCACTGAGAAGGAGCACTGCTTGTTAGAGCTGTACACAGGAGACTCGTGTTTAGATCGTGCTTGTGTTTTTGTTCTATTTCTGCAGAACAGAGGGAATGAGGAGACATCTCTTGCACTGGGTGAACAGTTTCTCCAGTGGAAAGGAGAAGGAAAATGCTGAGGACGAATTTGCAGGAACTATAGCATGGGTGAGGTTTTTTGTCTATATAGGTCGCTCCAAAAGTAATGCCTCCTATTTATTTCCATGGAAACTAGAGCAGACAAAACAGTAAAATAGCACTGTTTAATAGAGCAAATTCTCAGCAGCAAAACACTCTTTTTCAACATAGACACCGCTATTAGCTATGCAATTTCAGCAGCAATAAACAAGAGCCTTCATGCAGCACTTGTAACAATCTGCACCAGTGGAGATTACCCACTGTTGCTGTCGCCACTGCTGAAACACACCACCCACCTCTCACTGTGCTCACATCTACTGTTCGATCTTCAGAAACATTCAGCAAGCGTCCATGAATGTCACTGGGTGCCATTTCTTCTGCATGGAGGAATTCAGTGACACATCTTTGCTTCATCTATGCTCCTATGTCAGACACCATTCTGTCAGACTGTGTTTCTGCTGCCATCTGTCACATGGCAACAAAATATAGTGGAAGATTGGTGGGAAGGTTCAAATTCTACTGCCATACCACCAACATCTGTCTCTGACATCATGGGCCAACATAATAAAATAGAAGGCATTGTTTTTGGAGCACCCTCATATAAGCAACAAGTAAACACTTCTTCTGATGGTGCTTAGCAATAGGTCCTCGGCATAGGACCATACCAATGATGGCAGACACGTTGGGATGCACTTGCAGAGTTGGGCATGTCTGCTCAGCAGTGCTGGCTGTTCACTCCCCAGAAGAGGCAATGCCAACCAAGACCAGTGCCCACCCAGCACTGCCCTGCAAGTCTCACTGAGCTCCCTGGGGACAGCCATCACCCTCTTCCCAGACCTACTCCATGTTTCTTCAGGAGAAACATCCTCTGAGACACTCCAGGCATCAGGCCACCCTCTGGGAGAAAACCCCATCACTCCTCCCGTTCCATAGGCGAGCCAGTAGCCAGCTGTGAGTTCATGGGCAGGGTTAGCCTGGGAGACTGCTGTCATTGCTTTGTCTCAGGCTTTTGATTTTTGCTGGCTGCAAAGTAGTGTAGATCACCCATCACAGTAGAGGAAGGGATGCTGCTCAGATGCCAAGAACTGGTAAAGCTGCTTTGTTTTCAGGGAGGAGTGATTAACCCCAAAAATGGGCATTTAAATAACTAACAAGAAGACAGAAATGCTTCTGAAAGTATAGCAAACCATGTCAGGTTTACAGTCATTTCCAGTTATAAACCCAGCCCAGAGAACAGACTGATACTGCTTAGTTTTGGTGCTTTCCTCAAGCAGACTGCAGACATGTAAATGGGAGCTGATCCAGCACTGTAATGTCCAAATCTAACTTTAAAGTTAGATTTAGCTAACTTTAAAGCTCTTGCCTATCCTGGATTGTCCCCCTCCACTTCTCTCCCCACCAACACATCAGCAGTTCAGAATAGCATCACACGGGGGTACAAGGCTCCAGGTGCATCAACTCCAAACATTGTGCAGGCATTGATGCCAATGTATCTAAGGAGGAGAAACTTAGATTTCACATTCCGTAACTGGTGGCATTCTCTTTATGGAATGTCATATCTTCATGTCTTGTCTGTTCACACAGGACCAAAATATTGTCATTGGCTGAGCTCCAGAGGCAGAAGCCAGGGCTGCTGGAAATAGGGTCAAGGAAGAAATGGACTCTACAGGCTGGGACTGGGAAAACAGGGCTAACAGCTGGAACTCTTTCCCTGAAGTGCCTTCCCACCTTCTTATTTCTGTCTGCCCTCATTATTTGATTATCACGAGAGAAATCTAAAGAGTGTACTCAGTAAATCCTGAATAAATGCTAATAAATGACTACACTTGCAGACTGCCCTCTACACTTTTCAGATACATTTGGGGCACTTCTCTACCATAACCTGAGAAAATTGTACAGAATGAGAAGAGCTGAGGCAACACTCCTTGCAACTCATCAATCAAGAAACAATGGAAACAGACCAGGTCAAATGTTACTTGATGTTAGTTTTCATATTTCTGCTTGTTACAAATTTAAAGGATGCAGTGCCCAGCAACATCATCTGTGGTTTCTTTTACACGTGGCTCCAACCAGAGAGTTTACAAAAGGCTTTTCCAGGTCCCACTAAGCAGAAACTGTGCAGAAGATGGACGTGGATGGAGGTGGATATGTAAAAAAGCAAATGAGGAAATGGTGATCAGTATAGGAAGATGAAGGTATTACTTCCCTGTTGTGTTAGGTTTTTGTTGGAAAAAGAGCAAGAGGGTATTTTAAGGGAGCCTTCAAAGACCTGCACACCAAACTGTTACTAGAAACACTGCACTCCATAGCAAGATTTATATTGACTGCAGCTCCTGCTGTCTCACTATCTTCTTTGCAACATCACCCTCTTCTCGCATCCTAGCTATCATCCTGCTCTCACTGACCATGATTTTGCATCATGAATGGGGTGATTTTCCTTCCTACCCACATATACTTGTCAGACTTCTTGTGTACAATAGCCATTCTTAAACCCCTGGGAACTGTGTTTCCTTTTCTGAAATCTTCCAAACCACTCTAGACAATATTATTTGATATTTGTAGCCTGCAAAGCATCCTGGGAATTCATTTGTAAAACTAGTTTATTATAGATATTGCAAAAAATTCAAGCTTTACATGTGGTATGAATCTTATGTCTCAGCAAAGTTTTCTGTTTCCTCACGCAACAGGAATGGCTTTGCACACCAGGTACTGTATGTGTCAGTATGGGACATGCAAAACTACATTTATGTCTGAGAAGCAGGACCCAAGCAAGCAGTGTTAGTGGCAAACCCTTACATAGTTGTTCTCCCACACATATCCTTGCTGCTTGAGTCACTGGGAACTGTACTGTTCCCAGTACCATATGTCCCTCTCTGTTTATGAGGCTAAGACTTGGGCCATATAATCCAGGAAACACAAGAAGGGTATGATTTTTTTTATTTTTTTATAGTCAGTGTATGAAGTGTTTTATAGGCAATTAAATCATTATCATTGTTTTTGAGTCAGATTAGTGTGTTGCACAGAAGGAAGTAGTCATGAAAGAGGTGAAAAAGATACTTTTCCCTCGGTTCTCAGCACAGTTTTCTAAACAAGCATAGAATGCAGTTCTTTAACCAAACAACAGTCACTGACTTTATGAGGACACTTGAAACTGAGAAATGTTTACAGATTCTGCCTGTAACACATCCCTGGTAGACCCAAGAAGAGAGGATGCTCACAGGGGGAAGGCCTTTGCTGAAATGAGCAGTTTTGCAGCTTGGCTGACCTGGTCCAAAAGTGTCAGTGCTGAAAGTAGCAGTTTTCCTCCTCCTTCCCCTGTGCCCAGCTCTAAGAGACTTGTTTCCTCATGGAGCAAAGCAGATGAAAGCTTATCCTATGAAAAGAAGGGGTTAGTTCACCACCCTGCAGTCAGAGAAGTGCTTCCACTGGCACAAGAGAGGGGAGGAATGTGGGAAGAGTGAATCCCCCTTCCAGCATCAGTGATCTGCACCCTGCAGTTTCGCCCACACCTGTCTCTTTGTTTATTTCATCTTGTACAGCACATTCACACTGATTAATAAAAAGGGAATTCACAACATACCCATTGCTGGTCTATCTCATAGCCCCTTAGTACTCGTGCCAGGCTTTTGGGCTTGACTGAAAATAGCATTAACATAGAAGAAATTAAGACAGTGACAAGATTATTTTTCTTTTCTTGTAAGAACTCAAAATAGATGAAATGAAAAGTTAGTGCTGTGAAATTTCCCAAATGATATTACACTTGATTCCCAGGTGTGGTCTATATTTATTAATAATATTTAATGTCTGCTCTCAGTTTCGCAATTTCTTTTATTTTATCCAAACATGATGCAAGCAGGGATACGAGCACCAGGATCGCATTTTTGTTGCCTCAATTATCTTGGAAAGTTTCCAGCAGACTGAATGGAAAGGATAGAGGTTTGGGGACACCAGGCTCTGCTTATACTGACATGTAATGTGTTGGCTTACAGCTATGGCTGATGATTCAATTCTGAGTTCTGCAGCTTTAGAAAGAGAAGCATTTAGTGGTTTGAATGGTGAGAGGGTACACAAGTGCACCTTGTATCTTTCAGAAAAGCTTTTACTCTATCAACAGGAGAGATGGAATCTAAGCAAACACAATTTTCACTACAGAGGAAATAGTCAAGTTTCAAAGTATTGGTTTCTTCTTCTTTTTAACTAAAATTTGTTTTATGTTTGTATCCCTCTAAACACCTCTTAGCATTCTAATTTGCTTTAGGTGCTTTCCCCAGGCAAATTATGTAGAGAAGAAGCCCAGTACTGTTCGCTTGTCTTTATCTTGCTTCATACTGTGCCTGGTGGCAGTGTGCTTCAGTTTCCCATGCTTCTTCATGAAAAAACAAGAGTACTGAATTCTTGCCTGGACAGCATAGCTCTACATTTGTGTTTGTTTTCACACATTAAAACCCTGGCTTAGCACAGTGTTAGCTTTGGACCTAGCAGCAAGTACTGGAATGGCATAGCTTCAGTTTTCACATTTCTCCAGGTGGAGCACAGCTAGAAAGCTTTACAGCCTCATGCCCAAAAATGGCCTTGTCTGTAGCATAGCAACAAGAAAAAAAAGTTCAGGGATAAAATTCACCCACCAGGTTTGTTGTAGTGGTTGAGCTCGTGGTCTTGCTCACTGCTCGAGAAGGTGGTGGTGGAAAGCCAAAGCAGCCATTTTTTAAGAAGAGCAGTATGAGAAGAAGAAGAGAAAACAAGTGGAGGCAAGATATGAGGGAAAGAAAGGAGAAGCAGACAGATCAAGGCAGAAATAAGTAAGGCACAGTGGTGTGCAGAAGCTCTGAAAGCAGAAATGGAAATGAAAGATAGGATGTTGGGTGAGACACTTAGCAGCAATCCAGCCATGAACTGGCCAGTGCTGCTCTGCCATACTGCTCTCAGGCAGTGCTGTGATTCCCCAGCTGCTGCTTAGGGATACCTCTGCACTTCAGCCACCAAAACTGCCCCAGTCTGCTCTCCTAGGTCAGACAGAGCAGGACTAAATGGGGCCCTCTGGAAAGAGAGATGACTGGAAAATAAGGTGGGTAATCCCCCTCTGGTTAAGGGAAATAGCCAAAAGTTAAAATATGTAAAATCTCAAAGCTTCTACACTGCTGGTATTGATATCTTTCTTTATCCATTTTATGCTGAAATAACATCAACAAAAACCAAAAACCAGAGACTGCTACTTCCCCACTGTCAGTAGCTTTCTGGTAGTTGAACAAAGATGCAAAGGGGATCCTTATGCAGTCATGATCATTCATCATTCTGATTCAGTTGCTTCAGCATTTCCAGTGGCTGGCAGATACCTGAAGCAAACTCCCAAAACAAGATTTGAACTCTGAGCTAGCCTTATCAAAACCTTGAAGGCTTGTGCCTGTATCTTCCCAATTCATTTACCAGTAAAGAAAAAATTACTGTTGGTTTGCCAAAGTTGCAGAAATTTGCAGTCCTTGTGCTGTATGTTTTGGGGGACTTTTTTTTTTAATAATTTGGGTTGCTCTATTTATTATGTTCCTCTTTTGGTTTGTGTGGTTATGAATTATGCAGAGAAGAGTGGACAGGAATGTTTTCCCCTGGCTCATGAGGATTTTTGTGTTAGACAGAGGTTACTCGGAATGGTAGAGCCCAGCCACATGCTCTGATGCTCAGTTACTCTCATAGCTGTGGAAGCTGCCAGTGAGATGATCAGTGCCACTTACTCTGAAGTGTTTGTCAAGTTATGCTGTGTGAATCCAAGGGAACAGTCGGCCTGAATTTCTCAAGAAATGGTTACTTCTGAGTAGTTTTGGCTCATTTCTCTAATTTCTGCTTTGGTTTTGAGCCACTTAGTCTCCTACCACCACACTACTGGGATAGCCACACTTACAGCAGAGCTTCCTTCTGAAAAATGTTGATGATTCATACAGCTCAACCCAACCATGACTTTCTGCAGCCATCTGAGCAGCTGCTTCATTTGCAGAGCAAAATTCAAACCAGAAATAGGAAGTTCACAGCCAGGTTGCTAGTGTTGTTGAGCTAAAGTAATACATTAATAAATTAGTCATGCATTCAGCTTAAATGCTGTCATTTTGTTGACACCAAGGTTTGTGATTATGCTTATGTTTGGCTGTTCATAATTCTTATTCTGCTTCACAGATTGGATAGCTTAAACTGTAGGTGAAGGTATAGAGCAGGATGAAGTATCAATGGCAAACTTAATTCTATGGCTCCTTTAATGGGAATAGTTTGACAAAGCTTGGAAGAATCATGTTGTGACTGAATCACAGCCTTGATTCTTACAATCAGGCTGCTAATTTCTTCAGCACTTATTAATTTGTGTTTGTGGTTGGCTGTATTTTTATAACTTCCGTCAGGCAAGAGTGCAAGCATCCCACATTCATTCCAACCCTGCTTTTTGTGGTGACCTTCCCATGCAAATGCTCCACTGTGAAGATGGTCCATGACAAACCTGATGAGGATGGGCCAGGAAATGAAACTCTGCAAATCTCGAAGTTGACCTGGAAAGCAGCCAGGGCATGCTCCTGCATGTGCTGAGTGCTGGCAGCAAGGCTGCTGCCTTCAATGTAGGTCACCGCTGGCTCATGGAAATTCACTGCTCACAACTCCATATGAGGAGAACTGTAAAGCAGCGCTTTACAGAAAGGAGGCAAATGGCTAATGCTCTCTGTGTGGTAATTACACGCTTTTTGTGCTGTAATTACAGCAGTACAGAGGAGTAGGCTTCTCATTGCTTTGGCTTGATCTCCAACATTTCCATGACCTCTGCGTAAGCAAGGCAAATGAGCGTCTGACATCACTAGTGAGATTCCTTGAGGGCACATTTCATTTGAAAACGTAGTTTAAATACAAAGTTTCTTGACATAAATGAGGCATCTGTCTTTTGTCTTTTTTAAACAGCTTGTGCTTAAGAGCTTGTTCCAGAGGGAATGCTATTGTCAGAGCGAGGAGCTGCCTCCAAGCCAATCTCCCCATTGCCTGCAGATCCCTGCTCACAAGCCCGCCTGCAGTAATTAATGAGGATTTTTCCTTGCTAGTAGAATACAGATGCACAGAAACACATGCTCACACACAGACACATGTTGTGGAGATCTGACTTCTGTCAGTTCCTGAACTCTACCAAAATCAAACACAGACCACGCTTACTGTTTAGATGTAAGCACATAATTGAATATGCTGGCTCTTGTACTCAAAGAAGCAAGGAAGAGAACCAGTTTGGTGAAAATAAGCGCTGACAAACCTTTATTTTGTTTTTATTTCCCTTAATCGTCACACTCATCAGGAGAACATCCTCTCTTGTGTCTCATTTAACCCCAGGACAGCAATGCCGCATTGTCTGTCACTTCTCCATCCCTTGTTCTGGAGCTGCCAATTAATAGCCTGATCTACTCTTCACTTCAAACTGCATTGTCATTCTGCACTTTTAATGTATCTTAACATATACGAGGCATGATGATTCTACAAGACTGTAATTGTTTAAAAAGAGGGCCCGAGAAAGTTCACACTAAAAAACCTGCATTGCTCTTTCAGTCTCACAGATGAAGCAACCATGATCATTCATACGAATGATCTGTTCTGAATAAAAAACAGTCCCCTCTTGTTAATGGTCTTGTTCCCATCTTCCCATCCTCTATACCATATACGCTGTCCCTGTTCATACTATTATTACAGCCTCTACATGCATTTTCCTCTATAATGCTTACAGTAAAAATCAGAGAACGATTTGAGTTGGAAGGGACTCTTACAGATCATTCAGTCCACTGTACCACTAACAACTCAGTCCTTAGGAATGCACTCTTGACAGATGATGTATTATGCATGCCAGCAGAAAGATTAGCTCTTCACTGTGGCTTTGGGCCTGAAACAGAAGTTGTCCCATGTCTGCAAAAACTGTTACTGGTAAAAGACAGCCTCCTATGCACCACCAGAAGAGGGGCTGTAAAAGGAAGGGATGTTGCTTGGCAGACAAAACTAGGACATCAGGCTCGAATCTCATGCTGTTTCAGGCTTGCCTTGATGTCATGATTATTTTATCTTGCTGGGAAATACTGTTGTTAGAGAGATGATGCATCTCAGTTCAGTCACTCTGTGCTGAGAGGAGAAACTCACGCAAGTGGGTTTAGCATCCCAAATCTGATACATATTTGATAAAATTTCTACACAGCTGTCAGGACAAAATACATTACGGGCCAATGACCAGTTCTGATGGAGTAGCTCTAGGATTTAGGGAGGATGTAGGTACCTATATCCAAAACAACATCACAAATCAACAAACCAAACAGACAAATCACTGGCTGTGATTCTTAGAGAATTTTTAATAGTTGCTGTTTTACATTTCTCCCCCCTTGAGATGCTCTTTAGAGCATGTCTAGATGTGCCTCACTCCTAATTGATCAGGAATACAAGTTTGCCTTTCTATGTGTTCTCAGCCAGCCAGACACATTTCCCAATCCCTCTTGGTTCCATACAACTAGTTGGAGTGTTTCTAGAAATGATCGAATTTCTATTGTAGTAACCAGGTGCAGCCACAACTCTTCCTGGAACATAATGAATACTGAATCACAATCATAGATGGCAGTGTTACCTGTGCTTCAAAACACCCACCACACTCTCCCAGGCTCTGGACTCCAGTGCTCCGCTATGCAGGGAAAGGTAAAGCCCTTTATTTCTGCATGCCCTGTGTTGCTGAGCTATGGGACTGGTGTGCCCCAAATTCAGTGGATGCTGAAAAGCTCTGTCGAGGGTTTGGGCCATTACATGTTCAATTACCTGTCTGTGGGATTTGTGTACCAAATAGAATTCTGTACCTACTTAGCACAGGACTAGCCCCATTACCTGATAATATCAGGAAGTGATTCAGGCACCTGTAGTAGAAGGGCATGATAATAAGTGATTATTGTGCTAAATTGATAAAATGCTCTAAGATTCTTGGTGGAAAGAGCTGATAGATCTTGAGTTCTCATAGGGTAAATAATTTATGATCTATCCATCTTAATTATTTATATTCCATTAATTCCTGTGCCCTAGAAGTGGAGTTCTTTTATGAAGATCTAGTCATCTAAAAGTTGGGTATCTTTTCAAAGTTGGATGTCTAATGTTACTCAGCAACAACAGAGGAAGACTTGCATCTTTGACATCTCCCTCAGAGAGGCTGAAGAAGAAGTTGAGATAGTTAGCACAGACTGTAGTTACCTTCAAATGCTAAACCTGGGTACGTGGTTAGACTCTGGGGAGGTATACTGGATGAGCCTGTTGCTTTCTTCTGCTGCTCACCAGTGCAGATCCAGGGCTTGGTGCTAGCAGGATTCTGCCCTTCATACTACTGAGCTTGCTCCAGAGCCACTAAGAGCTGACCTAGGTTGCAGGCAGGCTGATGGTGCCAAGAGTCATGGGAAGAGGATGGAATGTAGTGAAGAAAGAAGAATGAGATGGAGAATAGAGAAGACAGCAAAAATTCAAGATGGAAATTGGTTGGAGGAAAATAAAAACCAATAAGGAAAGAAAGGAAGGAAGAAACAAAAGGTTATTTGAGAGCAGCAAAATTTCCTGTGCACCACTTGCAGGCATCATGTAAGGCTGGTGGTTGGTACAGCAAGCAGAATGGATGGGTGCACAACCAGACAAAGCCATCTCCACTCTTCTGCCTGGTGTGGCCTGGCTTTTCCAGCACCCTGCCCTGCTCTTAATGGATCACACTGATGGCCAGGCAGGTAGTTTACTTCCTGTCACACAGATGTCCCTTATGCTTTTATTTCTTACTGTGAAGATTACTCACTTCTTAATTACTTACTTCTTACTTTCATTTCTAAATGACAGACTAATGGCTGACAGAGGAACAAAGGCATCAGCACCCCATCTGCAGCCCCTCTTATGCTGTTCACCATCCCTGAGAGAAGAGCATCTGCAAGGCACTTATGCGAAGGGCAGGGAGATAGCTGGCACTCAGATGTCCTGAATATGCAGATTTATATTAGGAAGCTGTGACAAATAAAAATTATTTTAAGGCCATCA